TCAGTTCCTCCCCCGGAAAAGCACACACTGCCCTTTTGTTACGTTTCAGTCAGTGCCTACTTTTAGTAAGCAAAAACACATTCTGTACCTTTATTTTTGGCTATGTTCGCGCTACACAAGCACAACTACGGAGATAACAACGGACAAAAAGACGGCTGTCCCTACACCCTCTCCACCACCAGCCCCCCCCTCGCCCTCTCCCCCTCTTCCTTCCCGGCGTGAGTCTTCATAAATTACGATTCTTTCCCCACGGTAAGTTGAACGCAGCACCCAGATATCCTAACTTTAGTGTGACGTCAGGAACCGCCGAGCCAAGAATGGGCTGACCAGCCATCCCCGTTGAATGCCCAGTGGCGGAAGAACTCGAGGAGAGCCTCCGTATTACAACTCAGCAAGACATTCAAGGTACCGGAGGAAGGGCCAGCTGGGGGCCCGCGGCTTCGACCTTGGTGCTGAATAAACAGTGCCTGTTATTGTAAAATGTTTTAAATGTCGCTCCCGGGGGTCCGTGTCTGCGTCGGCTAGCTGTTAGCTCCGTGTTTGTTAGCAAAGCTCGCTTCGCAATTTCTTTTTAATTTCTTTTTATCTTAACAGCTGTTTTCTTCCTGTCGCTCAGCCACTGTCAAGCATAAAGCCTGCAACCCGTCTAATGTTTAATCTGCTTTTACTTGTGCAATAACCAAACGCAGACAAGCCTCTAAGTTAGTGGCAGACGAGTTAAATATATCGATCAAGCTCAGCCCCCCCCCCCTCCTGGTATTTAAAGCTTAAAGTCCACCATGATATTTAATTATCTTATGTGTGTTCAAGCCCTGACTCCCGTTGTGTAAAGGTGTTGTTGCATGCTGTAGTCATCATTCACCTTGTTCATTTTTTCAGACCCCTGGACGGTCAAGGAATGGAGATGAAATGAATCTAGACATTCAGCAGGTACTTTTAGACCAATGTAGTTACTGTTTAAATCAGTGGTTCCCAACCTTTTTCCTTTTATTATTTATATATATATAAACATCGAGTAAATAGTAACTAAGTGACTTATTTTCATAATTATAGTTCTAATGCATAGACAATAACAATAACATACAGAACTTATAGACTAAATAAATAACACAACAACTGAAGGAAGTGTCTTAAAGTTCGCTTCATAGATGAGTTTTTACTGATATTGTGTTAAGGAACTTTTAATGCAATTTTCTGGCCTGTATTATGTGTGTATCTCTTTTTAAGTTTTACAATGTTTAATAGCTTTCCTTTTTTTTTGTTGACAAATTCAGTGTTTTCTTCTCCTTGAGGCGTGGGACATTTTTCGTATTCAGGC